CCACCACCATCATCACCTCCACCACCACCATGACCACCATCACCACCACCACCTCATCATTATCAGCACTTGTCAATTACTGTGGCCCAGCCAGTCCTTACATACATATACTATTTAATCCTCACTAACCCCCAAAGCGGTCCTATAATAATAGAGTAGTGATGGAGCCAGGATTCAAACCCCAATCTCTTCAACTCCAAAACCTATGCTCTTCACAGCCCAACTATATGCCTCTTGCCCCTACGAGTATGAGGCCAGGAGATAACCCAGACTGAGAGACCCCGGGAACAGAGGCAGGGGCACCCAGAGGAGACGGCACAGCAGAGCGGTTTGAATCTCAGCCCTACCACATCCACCGTTTACCTAGCTCTCAGGTTGAGTATTTCAGCAGCTCTAAGCCTTCGTATCCTGGTCTGTAATAAAATAGGGATATAACCCCTGGGGCAGTTGTGAGGGTTGAAATAATACTCAGAGCACCTAGCATCATGCTGGGCACACAGTCAGTGCTCAGAGTGATGATGATGATTTAAGATCCCTCTAGACATAAGCCCAGGGGCAGAGGTGCTCAGCAGGGGGCCAAGAGATGTCTCTGCCCCTAGGGTCTCCGCCCAGCCCACCTCTGCTCATAGGCGTGGGCAGACTGCTCGATGGCCACATTCATGGTTTTCTTCTGCATCAACAAGCGGCGCTGGAGCTGTTGGTACACATTGTCGTAAGCAGCCTTCTCGTACCGCAGGTCCTCAATCTCCTTCCGGAGCTTAGCATTGGTGGTCAGCATCTTGTCGAAGTGCACGGTGACCTGTGGGCAGGGCTATGCTTCAAAACTGAGCTCACTCCTGGGGCACGAGATAGGCTTCCAGAAGGCAGCCAGAAGGTGGGAAGGTCCCTCCCACCTCTGGCCGCAGGTCCACAGCACAGCGGCTGAGGCGCTGGGTGAGAGGCTTGAGTTGGCCACCAAAAGCTAAGTGGTCTTGTGCAAGGTTCCTTCCCCGCCAGCCCCTGGATTTTAAATGTCTCAAGCTCTTTTATACCTAACTGTCGGTTTTTAGCAATGGCAGGGGAGAGAGGAAAAGGTAAATGACACCATAAGGAAACAATCAGGCAAATCCAGAAGGTAGAACTTTCTGTATCACAGCTGACCCAGACTCTTCAACAGGTTGATGGCCGGGAAAAGTGGTAGAGCACTGTTCTGGGGCTGGATGATTCTTCGTGGTGGGGAGTTATCCTGTGCTTTGGGGTGTTAAAGAAGCAATCCCTGCTTTCTACCTACTGAATGCCAGCAGCACAGCCCCCGACCCAGCTGTGACAACCAAAAATGTCTCTTTTTGGAGACAATGTCCCTTTGGGGGCAAAATCATCTCTGCTTGAGAACCACTGCTGTCGACTAAAGAAATTTAAGAGACCTAACAATCAGGTAGAAACTTGACTGGCTCCAACTTTAAAAAGACACTTTGGGGCCAGCCAGAGAAATTTTAATGTGGGCAATATTAAGGAAATAGTATTAATTTTGTAAGGTGTGGTATGATTTGGTGGCTATGAAAGAAAATGTTTGATTTTTAGAGATGCAAATAGAATTTAGGGGTGAAATAGCAAGATGTCTGTAATTTACCTTAAAATACTTCAGGGGAAAGAAGGGTGAAACAAATATAGTAAAATGTTACCAATTATTAAATCTAAGTGATAGGTATGTGGGTGTTCATTATTTTATTCCCTCCATCTTTCTGCACATCTCAATAAATTTACCTTAATAAAAAAAGTTTTTTATGCAAAGTGCTCCCATAGACACTGAAAAGAAACAATGACAGAAAATATTCCCAATGGATATAAAGTAGATTTGATCAGAGGTTTTTAAAGCATGTTCTGAGAAACTTTAGGTTTCTGCAAGGCTGAGAAGGGGGAAGGCAAGGGAAACCACCAGGATGCAAAATTTAAGAAGGTACTCACTCTCCCAGAGTCAACTCTGCCTTTCCATGAGCCTAAGAGTGAATGCCTCCTTAAATTTTGCATCCTGGGCTCTTTACTGGCCTCACCCTAGTCCTGGCCCTGGGTTCCTCTGTAGGATGTGTCAGTGGCCACCACACAAGGGAAGGGAATCCAGGAACAGAATCATTCTTATTCTTTCTGTATCTTCCACTTACCCTTAAGAAGATATTGGTTATCAGTCATTCGCTCTTTAGTGTGAATTTTACTCCAGGACTGTAGACATGCTACCCATCCTCTAATTGTGGGATAAAAATGGGAGGACTTTCAGGCCTCACTGAGTAAGTGGAGGAGGCTTTAGGGTCATGGGGTATTCTGGGACCCTGAAATAACCTTTAAAGATGGTTACCTAATCTACTAAAAGGCACAGGCCAGACCTGGTCAGGGAAAAGGGGACCCGTTTGAGAAGTAAAGGAGCAGCACTCCTCTCAGAAATGAAAGAGGGGACATTACTATAGACCTTACAGAAATAAAAAGAATTATAAGGCAATGTACTAAGAACAACTGTAAAACAACAAATTAGGATAACTTAGATGAAATGGACAAATTCCTAGAAAGAAACCAACTACTTAATTGACTCAGGAAGAAATAGAAACTCTGAATAGATCTATTATAAAAAAGCAGACCTCTATAGACAAGTCATCATTAAATCATGCATGCGTTCATTCATTCATTCATTCATTCATTCATTCAATCAACAGATGTTTGCCAAGTACCTACTCCAAGCCTCACACTGTGCTCGGCATTAATGATTCTTAACCAAGGGAGCTTCGGTTTCACTGGGGTTGTTAATAGTGCAGATGCCTGGGTCTAAGCCTTACAGGTTCTGATTCAAAACCAGTGAATCAAGAGAATTACAGATTCTGACTCAAAACCAGGAATCTGCATTTTAACACACATCCTAGACCTTCTGAGGCATGGGTGCAAATCACTGTGCATGGATATTAAGGACACTGCCCTGCCTTCAGTCCACTTCCAGGTTACTGGGGAAACAGAGATCAGACCCAATTAACTTCAACCATCCCTGGTTAAAGCCTGGGGGTCAGAGTTTGGGGGAAGCTAAGAGCTTTGTATAGTGAGGCACTGACAGGCTTCCCTCCAAATCAATTCACTTGCCCTCTCTCCTGGCTTATGTTGTGGGAACTGTAATTTCACAGGTCAGACTGGAATGTGTTTGTACGTGCTCAGCATTCTTTCTTCCTTTCTTTTTGCTTTTTACCACTTCTTCTCAGCTCTCAGTCCGCATTGTTGGATAGGGCTGTCCTCTCTTGACTTGGGGGAGGGGGGAGTAATCCAAGGGTAGTCATGTGACTCAAGTCCATGTATTCCATTCTTCTGAGCACAGTGATTGGTTGAGGGATGGGCACTTGTCCCAAGATGGCCCAATGGGAACCCTCCCTGGGACTTGTGATTGAACTCTTAGAAAAGAGATAGTCCTTTTCTGCTGGTGTTTGTTCACACTGGGGGCAGCCCAAGAATGAAGCCATTTCCACCCAAAGGAGAGGTGGACAGAGAAAGTATCCTCAAGACATGTTTGGAGCACCTGGATCCAGCTATGCCTGAAGGCCCCACTTTTGCCCCTGAATTTTCCAGTTCTATGGCCAACCCATTCTCTTTTTTGTGTAAGTCAGTTTGTAATTTAGAGAATCCTCCTTAATGCAAAAGGTCACTATAAATTGAAAGTGATTAGGAAACACCACTTTTCTCTTTATCAAGTTATGCATGTCTATGCTGAATATTTCCTAGAGACAATATCAACAACAACCAAAAAGTACTAGGTCTAATAGAGGCGTGAGCAGATTGCAATGGGGGAAGAAGGTCTCACTAATTCTGCTTGCTGAAGGGTGATATTTGAGCTGCTTCTTAAAAATGAGCAAGAGTTTTTAAGTCAAGGCACTAAAAATAGGCATCCCAGGAGGGGTGGGGGATTGGAATAGAGGGGGTGGGGGCAAGAGCATGGTGCATAAAGTGCAGAGAGCAAGAAGGAGAAAGGCACCTTGGGTAACAATGGGCCAAGTGGGCGGAACAGAGTGGGTGGAGCAGGGTGGGTGGTAAGTCTAAAAGGCTGCCTGGCTTGTGTGAACACCACTGGTTCACCTTCTCCTGAGTCAACGAACAAGATGGGTAGGTTCTGCTAAAGGCTTCATAGACATCATTCTCTACTCTGAGCAAGAGAAGGCAGAGCTGTTTGCAAAGCTGCAGAGAACCCCTTACGTACGAGATTCAAACGGGCTTCCAGAACGTGGATCTGCTTCTGCAGTTTCCGGGGGTCATTGGCTTCCTGTATCTTTGTGAAGATCTGTTTTTGGTTTATAATTTTTTTTTCCATCTGAACAATCTGGAAAAAGAAAAAAAAAAAGGAGAGAGAGCGAGAACCCCCAGCTGTGTTAAATTAACATCTGTATGGGTACAAATTTTACAGTTCACTAACGTAAGCGTGCTAAAATTAAACTGCAACGTTCTTTCTTTTCCTATCAATAGAATTTTAATTTCTTTCTTGAATGCATGCTCAACTCAACTTAATCTTAGCCAGTTTGGGGTAAAATGAGGCAATTTAGAGGTTTTGCTTTACCTGTGCTTGTGAATTTCACTCACCTTTTGGTCCAAGCTTCTTTTGGTTGGGTTTCACATCACCTGTAGCCAAAAGCATTCCTAACACACCATGCACTTAGGATAATTGATTCTGACTTCAAATAAGTGAAATACACTCTTGCCATGGTTGGCAGGAAAGAATTTGGGTGTTTCTTCCTACCCTGGTAGCTCCGGCCAAGTTCTCCAAACCCAAACACACCCACCATCACCTTTCCAGAGAACTCACTCTATAGTTTTTCATACAAGTACCAGTGGATCGGGTCATTTCCTCACACCGCCAACAGTGTGATAACCAACCCGCCGTATGGCTTCAGCCCACACCCAGGCAGATATCCATCCAGCTTACCTGCCCAATAGTTAGCCCCATCTAGAAGCAGCTGGCTCATGCTAAATCCTAGCAGGTTCTAGAGAAGTTTAGAGAACTATTACCTGAAGACAAGTGCCTGTGAAGACTGGTGAGTGCCAGGTCCTAATGTGTCAGAGGTACCTTATCTTCTTAGGGTTTGGGCTGAGACTGAGCTCTGAGACTTTGTTTTGGAACCCTGGTGGGTGAAGGGTGGGGGCACTGTCATTTTAAGCAATTTGATATGTCCCTGTTTGTCTGGAGGTAGTAGCTTGAATTCACAGTCTGAAGCCCAGCTCCTGTTCTGGAATGGAGAAGTTCCACATGAGGCAGGTTAAATGCTTGGTGTAATGAAATATAAAGTTTGTCAACTACATGGAGGCTGGCTTCCAGCTGGGAGCAAGGCACCCCTGTGCTGAGCTTGGGCTAATGAATTCTGGGAGCAGTCTCATCTGGGGTCCTGTGTTAGCATCCCTGAGATTTAGTTTCCTTTGTTTATCCCCAAACCTTCAGGAAGTCTAATACAGCACAGTCTCAGCTATGAGCATGGAACATTGAGAGAAAAATCTATACTAGAGTTTGCAAACTATGGCCAAGCAGGTGACATAAAAGAGTAAAGTGGACGCACTATAAGACACTACAGGATGGTAGAGAGTATAGGAAACTAGAGGACACACACCCTGCCTTAAGGGGCAGCAGCTTATATGATGCAACTACAAATTATAGAAAGTGCAACTGAACAGTGGCTTTTTAAAGATTTATTTACTTATTTTAGAGAGAGTGCATGCGTGAGTTGGGGGGAGGGGAAGAGGGAGAAAGAATCCTAAGCAGACTCCCCGCTGAGCACAGAGCCCTCTGAGGGGTTCAATCTCACAACCCTGAGATCATGACCTGAGCTGTAAGAGTCAGATGCTTAACTGGCTGAGCCACCCAGGTGCCCCATGGCTTAAACAAATTATGGTTTATCTTTCTGTCCATAAACGTTGCTGGCTTAAAGTTCAGTAACTCAGGGAAATAAATACAAGATCTCTATAATTCACCTGGCCTTTCCCTGATGGTCAAAAAATGTCTGCCACGGCACCAGCCTTCACAGTCATGTTCCAGGAAGGAAGGAAGAAGAAGCAATATGGGTAAAAGGGTGGAACCTAAATCTAGAAAGCAAAACTTTCCCAGATACCCCCAACAAACTTCCCCTTAAATTTTATTGTCCCCGCTTAGCTGCAAGGCAGGATGGGAAACATAGCTCTTTAGGAGTCTGTTAGAGAGGAAGAAGTAGAGAGTGGGTAAACAGCTCTTGTGTCACTACGACACTATTTAGGTACAGTTGCCCCGTGGAAATTCAGGCCCAATGTTGCCAGATCTTTCAGTCTTTTTTTGAAGAGAAGCCAGATATCCACTTTTTTTTCATGAAATCTCTCAATTTTTAACATGTTAACACTAATTAAAATAAATGTTAAACACTGAACAGGCCAAAGCCTTCATGTTGTTAGGCTTAATCTGTCCTGAAGATCACCAATTTGGTCTACACCCATATTTTAAGGTCTTGAAGGAACCACAGTAGACTGATGAAAGGTGGTTTAGGCAGCAAGAGATGCCAAGCAGAAGACAGAAGAGTGGTCCAGAGCCAGGTAGCTGGAAGAGGGGACAACAACCACAACTGTGGGGGACATGGTGGGTGGTTGACTGCCCCAACACCCATCCCACCCCAGAAGACTGATCCAAACCAACCGTGGTGACTTTACCCCCTCTGCCTATGATTTATTCATCAGGGATGGGCTGGACTAAACCACTTGGGGCCTCTGAATTCAGAAGGTGTGATTGCTAGAGAAGCTTCTAGAAAAAGTTTCATTTCCTAAAAAAGCGTCATAAGAAGAGACAGTCTGTCTCTTCATTTCCCTTTGCCAGTGATTGGCCTAGAAGTAGATATATGCTCTAGCCCTAGCCAATGAAGGAAAACCAGCTAGAGAGATTTTGTGAAAAAGTCTCTCCCCCATAAGAGCGGATATCATGTTAAGAATCAGCCCCTCATCCCTTCTTCACATCACTGAATGGGATGATGTGAGAAGCTACACCAGCTAAACTTTGGCAGCCATCTTGAGACCATGAGGGGAGGGCCAACCAAGAGGATCAGAGAGAAAAAGACCAACCTATCATTGCAGAGCTACTAAAAAATCCCTGGGATGACCTTTTTCCAGATAGACATCTTTTTTTTTTAAAGATTTTATTTATTTATTTGACAGAGAGAGAGAGACAGTGAGAGAGGGAACACAAGCAGGGGGAGTGGGAGAGGGAGAAGCAGGCTTCCCGCCGAGCAGGGAGCCTGATGCGGGGCTCGATCCCAGGACCCTGGGATCATGACCTGAGCCGAAGGCAGACGCTTAACGACTGAGCCACCCAGGCGCCCCCCAGATAGACATCTTACTATGTGAGAAAAACAAACTTCTGTTCTTCCAGCCACTCCTAGTCAAGAATTGCTTTACCTGCAGCCCAATCTATTCTCACTGGTACATCAAGCAAAACGGCAGCTCAGATGATCAGGCATCAAGGGAACCTCTGGGTCTCACACAATCTCATAAGGCACGTGAAGGCTGTGTGTGAGTGATATTAGCAGCCAGGCTTTGGATCAAGTCAAGTCAGATCCCTGTTCTACTCGGTTCTCCTCTTCTGTGTTATGGGCAGGCAGCCTCTCTAGACTGCAGCGTTTCCTTGTGCCCGCCCCTGAGTTGACCCAGAGACCTCAGGTTCCAGCTCCTTGACGAAGGAAGGTGTGTGTCAGCACTTCCTGTTGCTCCTGTGATTAAATTCAGCCTCCCATTCCCTTTGGCACCTTTGTGTCAGACGTTGTTCTTGTGACGCGGAGAGTAATTAGGCCTCTGCCTGACGGGAGACACAGCCAAGCCTGTGCCGACGGAGGAGGGCATCGCCTACGTGAGGTGCTCTCTTCAGCATAAAGGCACAGGCTTATCTGCTTTTTGAGGCCAGGCTGGGCCCGGTAAGGTCCCTGCCTCCAGTGACCTCTTGCAAGGGAGCAGCTCTGGACGTTGTGTGGTGGGCACAGCCGCAGGGGATTCTGGGACCTGCCCACCCTGCGATGGAACTGGGCAAAGAGGGTTTCTGTACAGGGCAGTGAGTGCCATATTCTTTTGAGGATCCCAAAGTAGCTGGGACGCCTGGGTGGCTCAGTCGTTAAGCGTCTGCCTTCAGCTCAGGTCATCATCCCGGGGTCCTGGGATCTAGCCCTGCATTGGGCTCCTTGCTCTGCGGGGAGTCTGCTTCTCCCTCTGCCTGCCCCTCCCCCTGCTTGTGCTCTCTCTCTCTCTGACAAATAAGTAAATAAAATCCTTTTTAAAAAGTAGCTTGCCTTTTCCTACTGTTTCTGAGGACCCACATCCCCATTTTTTTCTTCAATTTTCCACTTTCTTGCCTTTTCCTACTGTTTCTGAGGACCCACATCCCCATTTTTTTCTTCAATTTTCCACTTTCTTCACTGTTATTGCCTTTCTCATTCATTCATATATTCATTCATCAATGATTATTAAACACCTGCTCTGTGCCAGACAACTAAGGGTATGAAGGCAATCAAGACAGTATGATGGTCCCTGACCTCAACACTAGGGCTGGAAATGAGCTACGAAGCACAGTTAGTCCTGGGAAAAGGGAGAGGTAAGGTATTTTGGACACAGACAGCAGGAGCATCTGGAGAGGAAATGAAGGGACAACCATCCAGCAGAAATAGCATTTGGGCTGAGACCCGAATGATGAATAGGAGCTCCCCAGGCAGGGAAGATGGGGAAGGGCAATCCAGGCAGAGGGAACAGCAGGTGCAAAGGCCTGCAAATGAGAGACAGCACTATGGGTTCATGAAAGTGGCCAGTGTGGACTGAAAACAGAGGAGGGGGGTGCAGGAGAGAAGGTGGGAGGGGCAGGAGGGACGCAAGGCAGCAGAGCCAACAAGCCACACTGGGGAGTTTGGCCCTCATCTCAAGAACAATAGGAAATTACTGAAGGGTTTGAAGCAGAGGAAAGATGGAATGAGATTTCCAGATTCTTTCAGTCAGTAAATATTTATTGAGGACCTACTATGTGCCAGGCACTGGGATAGGCACATGATGGGTAGAGAGGGGGACAAAACAGACATGGTCCTTGCCCTCCTGGAGGTGACAGACTATGGACAGATGACACCTGTGTTAAAGTATAATTACCACAAGGAGAGGTGCTATGAGGGAAGTGCCATGGGGTGTCATGAAAGGAGTTAAGGGAGTGTGCTGAGATCTTGTCTGCCCCCTGAGGTTCACTCTCCACTCTATTCCACCCACCCTGCTCTGGGCCCCAAGAGGCTGATCCGGAAGGATCCCATGATGACTCCCTTGCACTGGGGGCCCGTGGGTGAGAAGACAGAGGTTGGGGTATCTATGCCCCCTGGTTTGCTCTCTGTCTTCAGGTTCCAGAGTATCTGCCCTGCCCACTGCAGCTAACCCTACAGTGCGTCAATGTTCCTACTCTGTGCTCACACCCTTGTAAATACAGCCTCATAAAACTCTTCTCAAAGGTACCTTACTGAGCATACTATTTGTTTTTGGCAATTATTAATTAATGCAAGGGGGATATACTTTAAACAGGAGAAAGGGTATAGAAAAGGCCTCCCTGAGAAAGTCACATTTAGGCTGAGCCATAAAGGGCAAGAAGCAGAGATCAGGGGAACGTGAGGTAAGAACAGTTTTCACGTATTTGAAAAAAAAAAAAAAAGTCTTCTGCAGCTGGCTGAGATGAGTTGAGGAAGGAATGACATGGGATGAGGACAGAGGGGCAGGCAGGGGCTAGATCATGCAGGGCCTTTCAAGCCATGGGAAGGGATAGGACCATTAACACTGTTCAGCAAATGTCTCTAGCTCTTTGCCTTCTGGATACACGCACTTCCTAGACACTTTTGCGGATGGATAGAGTTGACTATTTGGGGGATGGGCAGTTGGGGTATATATGGATTTGGTAGACAGTTTTGAGCCTCTGGGTCATGGACAGAAGTGACGTGCCACATCCAGGCTGCAGCATTCAATTGCCAGTGTGAGACTTTCCAGAACTCTCTTTGTCTCTGTCACAACACCTGGCAATATTCAAGATGGTGGATACCCCATCAGCCTGGTCTCAGGATGAGAAGATAGAAGAGCCCACAGCCAATCCATGAGAGACAGCATGAATGGGGAAGAAACCTTTCTTGTTTTAAACCACTGAGTGGTGAGCAGGAGTGTTACTGCAGCATAATCTAACCTCTCCTGACTGGCACAGTAAGGGTTTGGGAATTTACTCTAAGTGGAGTGGGGAGGTGCTGGGGAAACACAGCGGAGGAATGGCCTGGGAGAGTAGGGGTCACAAGGTGGCAGAGTAAGCACAGTCACCTTTAGAACATGGGGTGTCAGATCTGGCCTAAGGCATCATGGGTACCCCCTCCCCCCACTCCACCCCGCCTCCTCCCCTTGCCCTGCGCTCCAGTTAACCCTCTAAGGGAAGGACCACACCTTCTCATCCAGTTCTGCCAACAGCACTTTCATTGACTTAATCAGGGCCTCATAGTCGTCCTTGGTCTGCAGCAGGAAACACAGCTCCATGTAGTTCTTCTCATTCAGATCCAAGTTCTTCGAGGACTTGATGAGACCCGAAAGCAGAGTGATCTCTTCCTGCTCTCCCTGCAGGGCCTTGATTTCCTTGCTGTGGGGAAAGTGCGTGATTAACCCTGAACCGCCGAGTTTACCTTGCTCTGCCGCTCTAGGCTCCTTAGCGCGGCAAGGAGACACAGAGAGGTACCACCCACCCCGGCAGGTGGCTGGGGCGGGGCCGGCGGTGGGGTTGATCCAGGTCCAGAACTCTGACCGCCTGCAACTCCACGGCTCCGCCCCCTCGCTAGGGGGCCTTTTCTCCCCAGGGAACAATTTGCAGCTGTGCCTGTCAAAACCCATTACCTAGGGTGCCTGGGTGGCTCAGTTGGTTAAGCGACTGCCTTCGGCTCAGGTCATGATCCTGGAGTCCCTGGATCGAGTCCCGCATCGGGTTCCCTGCTCGGCAGGGAGTCTGCTTCTCCCTCTGACCCTCCCCCCTCTCATGTGCTCTCTCTCTCTCTCTCTCAAATAAATA